TCTCTGTGTTGGGTAGAAGTCAGAGAAAGGAAACTATTAGGCCCTAAAATCGTGCAAATAACAAGTGATAAGATTCAACTCATTCAACAGCGAATTCGCACAGTTCAAAGTTGCCAGAAAAGCTATGCGGATACACGGAGACGAGATTTGGAATTTCAGGTAGGAGAACATGTGTTCTTAAAGGTCTCGCCAACAAGGGGACTCATTCGATTTGGAAAACGAGGAAAGTTGAATCCGTGTTACGTCAGACCATTTGAAATACTGGAGAGAATTGGCTCTATAGCATACCGTCTTGCTTTTCCACCAGAACTATCTAATGTTCATAATGTTTTTCACATTTTGATATTTCGACGATATCTTTGAGATCTAGAACATGTTATCAATTATGAGAGCCTCGGAGTTCAAGAAAGTCTCTCTTACGAAGAACAACCAGTGCAGATTCTTGTTCATTGTGATCAAATTCTCCGAAACAAGACTATACCTCTTGTCAAGGTTTTATGGCGAAATTACCGTGTCGAAAAAGCTACGTGGGAAACTGAAAGCCAAATGCGAGCCAAGTACTCACACCTCTTCGAAAACTAAGGTACGTCAAGTTTGGGGACAAACTTCTACTTAGAATGGGAGAAATGTGATACTCAAGTCCCAAATATTTCACTAACTTCAACTAAACATTTAATGTTTATCACAAAAATAAATAAATAAATAATAATAATAATAAAATAAATAATAAATAAAATAAAGATAAATAATAATAATAATAATAATAATAATAATAATAATAATAATAATAATAATAATAATAATAATAATAATAATAATAATAATAATAATAATAATAATAATAATAATAATAATAATAATAATAATAATAATAATAATAATAATAATAATAATAATAATAATAATAATAATAATAATAATAATAATAATAATAATAATAATAATAATAATAATAATAATAATAATAATAATAATAATAATAATAATAATAATAATAATAATAATAATAATAATAATAATAATAATAATAATAATAATAATAATAATAATAATAATAATAATAATAATAATAATAATAATAATAATAATAATAATAATAATAATAATAATAATAATAATAATAATAATAATAATAATAATAATAATAATAATAATAATAATAATAATAATAATAATAATAATAATAATAATAATAATAATAATAATAATAATAATAATAATAATAATAATAATAATAATAATAATAATAATAATAATAATAATAATAATAATAATAATAATAATAATAATAATAATAATAATAATAATAATAATAATAATAATAATAATAATAATAATAATAATAATAATAATAATAATAATAATAATAATAATAATAATAATAATAATAATAATAATAATAATAATAATAATAATAATAATAATAATAATAATAATAATAATAATAATAATAATAATAATAATAATAATAATAATAATAATAATAATAATAATAATAATAATAATAATAATAATAATAATAATAATAATAATAATAATAATAATAATAATAATAATAATAATAATAATAATAATAATAATAATAATAATAATAATAATAATAATAATAATAATAATAATAATAATAATAATAATAATAATAATAATAATAATAATAATAATAATAATAATAATAATAATAATAATAATAATAATAATAATAATAATAATAATAATAATAATAATAATAATAATAATAATAATAATAATAATAATAAGTGTAAGTTTCGTTTTCATAAAATGTGTATGTTCTATTAAAAGGTGTAAATTTTTTTTTTTTAAAAAAAACTTTTCACAAAAGGAGTAACTTTTCAGAAAATGTGTAAGTTTTTATCAAAAGGTGTAAACTTTATGAAAATATATTTTTCATAGAAGGTGTAAATTTTTTCACAAAATGTATAAGTTCCAATGAAAGGTGTAAATTTTATGGAAAAAATTATTTCACAAAAGGAGTAACTTTTCAGAAAAGATGTAACCTTTTAGAAAGGGTGCAAGTTTTTAACAAAATGTCTAAATTTTGTGAAACATATTTTCTATAAAAGGTGTAAATTTTCAAAAAAGTTGTAAATGATTTCACAAAAGATGTAAGTCATGTCACAAATTGTGTAAGTTTTGTTTTCAAAAAAGGTGTAAGTTCCAATAAAAGGTATAAATTTTATGAAAAAAATTATTTTACAAATGGAGTAATTTTTCAGAAAAAGGTGTAAGTATTTCCACCAAAAGGTGTAAACTTTCAGCAAAGGTGTAAGTTTTTAACAAAATGTATAAATTTTATCAAAACATATTTTCCATAAAAGGTGTAAATTTTCATCAAAAATGTAAATATTTTCACAAAAGGTGTAAGTTGTGTCACAAAAGGTGTATGTTCTATTAAAAGGTTTAAATTTTTTTTTTTTAAAAAAAACTTAGTATTTATTGATTTGGTTAAAATCTCTTGATCAACATTTATTAACTTTTTCCAATTCACACGTCTTTCCACATGCCTACATTTATTGATTTGATCAAAATTCTTGATCAGTATTTAAAATTCCTTCATACAAATAATTATAGATACAGCCCATGCATAATTACTACAGTAGTCTTTTCAATTTCTCCCATACACTATGATTAGTAATAAGATTGTTAAATTATTTTTATCAAAAATCTTAAAATACATAATTTATATATTACAAAAAATTTAAAATAAATAAAAATATTTATAATTATCCCGTACATAAATTCTTATGAAATAATAGATGATGTTTCAATATACAATGCACATCATATATAATTCTACTATTGACAATGCGCATTGTATATAATCCTCTTTACAAAATTACATAAATTTTTATAATCTCACAAAACTTCAACCTTTTTTGTGAAGTTACTTGTACAAAATCATAAAAACTTACATAGTTTTGTGGTAAAATTGCATAGCACATTGGAAAATTTTCTATTATTTGATAATATCACATTTGTAACATAACATTATTAAGATTATGGGATAAATTACAAATATATTATTTGAAATTTACTTAAAATACAAATTCCTCATTTTATTTTAAAAATTATATCCTACTCCTTCAAATTTCTAATCGTAAAACAATTGATCCATTTTATTTATTTATTTATTTATAATTGTGTCTCTAAACCAATTTACTCATATCTTGACTAAATCTGAAACCTTAAAATTAACGACTAGACAAATCATTAAATCAATTAAAAATTTAATTATGTTATAAATATATTCTAATTAATAATTCTAATAATTTTATTATTATATAAAAGAATAATTAGAAATTTTAAATAAATATATGTATTTATAATTGAGAAAAATACATATCAATCATTTTGCTTGGTTTGGGTTTTCTAAAACACTTTTTAAAAAATTCCTACTTTCTTGTTTTTCCTATTTTTTTGTTTTTACCGAATTTTTTTTAATATTTTAAGCAATTGTTTTAATTTTTAGACACATTTAACATAAATAATTTTAAAAATTATAATTTTCGTGAAAAAATCTTTAAAAAATTCACTAAATATAAAAAATACAAAAAAAAATGAAAATTTAATATATTTTTCGTATTTTTGTGCATTTACTTACTTTTTAAAATATTTTTTCACAAATATTTTACTTTTTAGATACATCTAAGTAAGGTGCATCTAAAAAAAAAACAATATTCACTAAAAATAAAAATAAAAAATAAAAAATAAAAAACTCAATTTTCAAAAAATTAAATTTAGAAAACTAAAACCAAACAAATTAAATATGACCCAATATAATGGTCTCTTTTGAAAAGTGAATTAGTAATCAAAAATCAGCTTTTATATTATTTTTGAATCATATTATTTATCACATTATTTATATATTTTAAAAAAAAATTTAAAAAATTTAGGGTTCTTTTGAGAAGTGGGTTGACTTTTTAACTTTTTAACTTTTTGACTTTTTAGCTATTTTTTGGGGTTAAAAAGTTTCATTTAGAAAGAATTTTTTGACTTTTTATGAGAAAAATAATATAATGATTATGAATTAGATGTGATATATTATTTTACTGAATTAAAAATCCTATTTTATTTTTTTTAACTAAAATAACTCCAAACCCAACCCAACCCAACACAACACAACACTTCTTCCTAAACAAAATCTTAAAAAAATTAACTTTCAATCATCTTCCAAAAATAAGTCATATATTCAGCTAGGCTGACAGAGAGAGAGAGAGACCTTCAAGTTTGTACCAATTCTTAAATCCAATTATAAATTTCAAAACTTTGACCGTAATTATATATTGGCTATATATCTTGACTGGTCAAGATGATCAAAAGGTCAAAACAAGTGTGAAGAAACAAATGGTCTCTCAAAAAAAAATTATGTTTAGTTCATAAATTTTGATAAATTTTTTTTAAAATTTTTTTATCAAATTTAAATATATATATTTTAAAATTTTTATCCAAATTTATAAGCTAAATATAACTTAAATAAGATGGATTAACATTTCATGCACCCTATATAGTACCAAAGACTGTTGAATTCAACCACCACCAATCTATTTCACCCATATGAAAATCTTAGAATTATAAAATATACTCAATTTAAAATCAGTTAGTATTATTAGCTTGACCAGCTTTTAAATTTAATATTTTTTTCACACGACGATAAAAGATCTAAGCAGGAATTAGGACAGTGAAAATGACTCGAGATACAACTTTAATATTATGTTAGAATTATTGGAGACAATTAATTTAAAATCAATTGATTTTAAGTGAAGGAAGAATGTGCTATACATATACAAAAGTTGCATGATGGTAATCAAGTGTATTGAAATATATAAAAATACATAAAAAAAAATATATAAAAATATTTATTATGATTATAATTTTGTAGCAATTTTTGACCAATACCTATAAAGATAAAGGTTGAATTAAGTTGGGAAATGATGATATGGAACCAAGTCTTTGACTGAAAACCTGCATGTAAACTGATTGCCCTATTGCTTTAAGAGCTCCCTCTACTTTCCCTTTACAAATACCCATGTATCACTTCTTGGGTACTTTGAATTGCTAACAAAATCTCTCTCTCTCTCTCTCTTGATGGCTTTAATGAAAGAATTAGCAAGAAGTGACTTCCCATCTGATTTTAAGTTTGGGGTTGCTTCTTCTGCTCTTCAGGTACTATTATTGTAGAGTGATTGATCTCTGTTAGCCGTCTTTGTTCTGAGACTAGTATGCATACATATACACAAGTATATATATATGACTAAATGGTCATTGTAGAGAAATTAAGAACTTACATCAAACTCAGCAATAGCTCTGAGGTTTTTGGGTGGTGAAAAGGGTTTGATCTAAAAAAGGGATGTGGATGTAGTCTACTGTTGATTTTTTATTTTTTATTTTTTGTTTGGTGGTTGATGGTTGTTTTTGTTGAATTAGTGGGAATTTTAGTGGTGTCACCTTGTGGGTATGAATCAGGAAGTGTCATCTTTATTAATGCAGGCAAGATGTTATTAAATTGTTTCTTAGGGCTGGTTTTAGTCTGTTGAAGGGGCTGTTCTTGTTCTTCTCTCTGAAATTTACAAAGATGACAAAATTGATTGGTTTTATTTTCAAAAAACTGTTTTCTGAAATGTTTTCAGTCCGTTTCGATCATGTAATTTGATGTGATATGATAAGAAATGAAAATAAAGTTAAATCTCTTGTTGGTTTCGTTTTTCACCAAAATGGTGAGATTTGGTGAGAAAAAAGCTGATCGATTGTGTATTTTTTATATTACCAAAACTGCCAATTAAAAATAGAGAAGGAAAAAGAATTCTCAACCATATCCCTCTATCACGTACTTTTTATTTTTGACTTTGCCAAACATGATAGGGAGAAAATACGTTCATTTTTTTTATTTTTTTTTTCACCTAGTTGAGAGACCAAAATTATTTATTTCTTTTCTCATCCCACAATTCAAAGGGAGGCTAAAATTTGGTTTGGTGGGGGGAAAAATGAACAAATAAGAAACACCTATCATTTGTGTATGGCAATGCAGACAGAAAGTGCACCTCATGAAGGAGGGAGAGGATCGAGTACGTGGGACTACTTCATTGAAGACACCCCAGCAGTTCAATTCTACCACAAATACAAAGTCAGTACTACTTTATAAATCATGGTGTTTCACTATTTCTTTTTGTTGGAAACAATATTACAGAACTTACATTATGCTCACTTTTCTTTAATTATCAAATTGATCTTTGATTTCTAACTAAAATTAATAATTGATAAATATTAATGATATGATTGGTGTTATAATCATCATGACAGGATGATGTACAATGCTTGAAGAATATGAACATAGAGAACTATAGATTCTCCATTGCTTGGCCCCGGCTAATTCCAAGTTTATACCACTCATTCATCCCTCTTATCTTTTATTGATGAATTAGAAGTAACAATAAGTCTAGGGACATAGAATCCATCAAAAAAAAAAAAAAAAAAAAAACAAAAAACAAAAAACAGCATTCCCATACAAATCAGATGGTTAGACTTGCCATTAAAGAGATTGTTTCACTCGGATTGTTTCATCTGTGTTTTCTGTGGGTGGTTCTGTGTTCCTAGAATTATTGTTAGAAGTAATTGTGTGACCCTTTTTAAATTCCACTTAGTGAGTACTCCTTTTCTTTTCTATGATTTGCAGCTGGAAAATTGAGTGATGGTGTCAACCAAACTGGCATTGATTTCTACAACAATTTGATAGATGAACTGGTTGCTAATGGTATGAACTAGCTTTATGTTGAAAGTAGTTCATCCATTTCATACTTGGAATTAATTATCTCCTTCTGCTAGTTCTGAAATTAATTTCTTTGGTAGGTATCGAGCCTTTTGTGACATTGTTCCACTTTGACTTGCCTTCTGCTCTGCAAGAAGAATACCATGGCTTGTTGAGCTCAAACTTTGTGTATGTGCTTCTTGGTTATTCTGAGATTGGCAATTTTTATGTATTTATTTATTTTAAGATTTGTTTCGTCTTTAGTGAACCTCTTACAACTTTTTTGTCAATTTATACTTACTTCTGGGCACTTCTAGACTAGAAGTCCCTGAATTTTTTTTAAAAAGAAATCAAAAAGTCTACGTGCATAGAATTTCACAGAAACTTGCACAGAAGCCCACCCCTCGTCTCTCTTTTGTGCAAGTTTCGATGAATATTTTTGTGCAAGTAGCACAACCTGTAAAAAAATGGGCCGAATTTGAAAAATCACCAGTTGGCAAATAAAAGTTTTTGTTTTATTATTATCTTCAGTGAAAATTTTCAAATTTGGTTAATTTTTTAAAGTTTTTAGGGGTTTTCATTGTAGAAGCACTTAAATTATTTGTTTTTTTTTTGAAGTGACAAAAATTTCAAAATTTTGACCCCAACCAAAATTTTGACAAAATGCTAGCTTTAAGAAGCAGTAAATGATAAACAGGGTTATATAATTTGAAAAATACATATTTATCCTGAAACTTCTGTATAGAAGAAGTAAAAGAAAGAAAAATAAAATTGTGAATCTGATTTTTTCATTTTGATTTCAGTGAGGACTTCACGAATTATGCCGATCTTTGTTTCAAGACTTTTGGAGATAGGGTGAAACACTGGATAACAATTAACGAACCACAAGTTTTTGCTGTGTATGGATATAAAATGAGTCTGTCAATTCCAGATGAACCATCAACGCATCCTTACATAGCTGCTCATAATATCATACTAGCCCATGCCAGTGCCGTTAAAGCCTACAGAGATTCTCACCAAGTACTGTGTTTTAAATTCATCAATTCTCTCTTAACCATGTCTCAAAACACTATGTTTAGATCATGAATTAAATTTTTCTCTATAAATTCAAGATCCAAGCATAGCATAGATATATTGGTTTTATTCAAAAAATTTATGGATAAAATTACAAATACACTCCTGAGGTTTGATTAAAATATGAATTACCCCTTGTGATTTTGAAAATTACATTCCACCTTCTGAAGTTTCTAATTTCATAACAAATCGCTCCTTTTATTAATAAATCATCAAGTCAATTAACAGTTTTTAATGATGTTAAAGTATGTTTTAATTAATAATTTAGATAATTTTGTTATTGTATAAGAGTGCAATTATGAATTTCATTTTTTTAGTTAATTCTGTTAAATAAAAAATTCTAATAAAGGGGTATTTGTAATTTTTCAAACTACAGGAGCAATCTGTATTTTAAGCAAACCTCAGAGAGTGTATTTGTAATTTACTCAAAATTTATTTATCCTTTTTTGACGATGTTGAAATAATGAAGTATTTGACTGGTTTTTTGGTTCAGCCCACACAAAAAGGAGAAATAGGTATTTCTGTGAGTGCCCAATGGTTTCTGCCACTTGGTGTAACGCCTGCGGATAAGCATGCAGCACAGAGAGCATGGGACTTCATGACTGGATGGTAATTGAACTGTGCTATTCAAACTTTTTCAGGTTTTTGTTTTTCTCATTTTCGGTTTTTGGAAACAAAAACAATGAAATTTTGAAAACACTTGCACTGTTAGTGTTATTGCTTTTAATGTAATGTCAGACACCAGTTTTTTTCCTTCTTCTTTTTGGGAACATGACAAATATTTCTGGCTTAACAAGTTGTGCTTTTTGGCCCCTTGGTATTTGTTAGGTTTTTAGATCCATTAGTGAGTGGAGACTACCCATTCAACATGAAGGCTATTCTGAGGGATAGGCTTCCAACATTCACTGAAGAGCAAGAAGAAATGGTTAAAGGGTCCTTTGATTTCATTGGCCTCAATTACTACACATCAAGATACACAAAACCCCTTAAGCTATCTTCCAATGATGTGCCTACCGGCTACGAAAATGACCAATATGTTCAAACACTAAGTATATTCCCAACAACCCATCAAATTTTTTTTTTTTTTTTTTTTTTTTTTTTTTTTTTTTTTTTTTTTTTTCCGTTCACATTAAGTGCATGAGTTATATTAACCTGAATTATTTTCATTCTTCTTCTCAGCGGAGAAAAATGGGGTACCTATTGGTGAACAGGTACAATTTAATTTTGTCAGAAAAGCTACAAATCCATAAAAAATGGGTACCTATGTGTATGGTGTAAACTAAAATTTGCTGTGGTGTGAGTTATATATAGAATGAATTTGGTATAATTTTGTGAAGTCTCCTTGCGTTTCATGTTGTGAACCCTGATGAAAAGTTGTAATAAATTGAGACATATATATGGAGTTGTTTTGCGATCTGATTTGTTCATGTTTGACCGCATTAATTCTAGGCTGGAGGTTTCGATGCGATTTTTGTTTACCCGGAAGGACTGGGTGAAGTTCTATTACATTTGAAGCTTGCATATAACAACCCCACCATCTACATTACTGAAAACGGTTAGTTAATCAGCTGCATTTACCTGTTTGAACTGTTTACCTATATTTTTATTCTTTTATTGCTTTTTTATTTATTATATATATATATATATATATTTGGGTGAGAATGGTTTATTGGAATGACTAAAGTACCCACCCCCTAAACAGGATATCCACAGAAAAGGAACAGCTCGATCGCCATTGAGACGGCACTACAAGATGATGTCCGAATTGAGTTCCTCCAAAACCACCTCACCTATGTCAGAAAGGCCTTGAGGTAATAATCTCTCTAAATATATAGCATTATGCAAAAATATATATATATATATAATAAAAATTCATGATATATAAATGCAAATTTTCATATATTGACAATGGTTTTAGGTGACCTAGTCAATTTATGGCACTCCCAATATTAGTGTTGTTAAAGTCTTGAATCCTACATGAGGAAGAAATCCTCCCATTCCCACATGACTGATCATGTGTTAAATGACCTGCTTTGGCTCTCAAATTTAATTCATGTTGTGGCTAATAAACCATTGGTCACCTGAATTGTTGAACTGAGTTCTACCATCTCTCTTACAACCAATTGGTTTCGGGGAGGGTTTTACTAGTCTTTAATAGCATTTGACGTTGCGCCTTGTGAGCCTATTTTTAGAACAGTCGCAGGGAGCAGCATTGTATACCCCACACAAACTACCCAACAAATGGCGAGATTTCATGGTATATAATGGGTTATTTTGGGGTTTTATGATATTATGGTTTTCAAATAGACAATTGTATATAGAAAGCTTACACATTATATTCTCTACATTCATAACAAAATTTCTTGCCAAACCACATAAATTCTACGTGTTTGTTCTGCTGTTTATTATTTCTTAATTCTTGGTTCCGTCATGATAATTTAGCGAACAAATTAAAGATTTTTTTTTTTTTTTTTGACAGTGAGGGGGTTAACCTCAAGGGTTACTTCGTATGGTCCCTCTTGGACAACATGGAAATGGGATCAGGATATACCATTGGATTTGGGCTACATTATGTCGACCATGATGATGATTTCAAGAGGCACCCCAAAAAATCAGTTTCCTGGCTCAGGAATTTCATCACGGGCAGCAGCAGCAGTAGCTCCTAAGAAAAAGGACCTTTCAATGCATACGATTTCTGCGCCATCTCATGAAATATAAGCAGAAGTCACTTACTTTGTTTTATTAGCCCTGTTGATCAATCTAGATTGCATTTTAGGAGTAAACTTGTCATCAGGTTTGTCTAAATTTTGTGGGTTCCCAAAATGCTTTTCTTAATTTGCTATACTTTCGCTGCATGTCAAGAAATAGGACCAACAACGTTTATCAAACATACACTCTCCTTCATGTTTCTCTTAATTCGTTGTATTTCCAAAGAAAAATAAATACATTTTTGGCAACGGTTATATCATCAATTGTTCTAAGTTGTTAAGATATAGGTATATTAAACTCACTCTCTTTTATGGTGCGACTTCATTTTGCACGTGAAAAAAAAACAGATTGAGAAAATAAGGTGCATGAAAACAAGTAGAACAAAGTACAGAATAATAGAGAATGAGATACATTAGATTTAAATTTGAAAAACTTTGATACCATATTAAATCACCAATTTTCTTGAAAGTATAATCTGTTAAAAAATGAATGTAACAATGTATATCAAGCTAAAAGACATATTTGTTATGCTTTGCCATTCTTCTTTCTCCTCAAAATTACAAACTCAAATCATTCAAAGAGAACATACCAAACATCATCAAAGCATAAAAACTACTCATGAGTTCTCAAGAGCCTCTTCTACCCATATTTTACCCTCCGCTAGCCTCTTAGGGCATGTTTGATTGGAAGGATTAAAGTATGAGACTAGGATTATTAATCCGTAGGCCCAATCATCCTATGTTTGTTTTGACATTTTGGTTTAGGACTATTAATCCAATGGATAATTAATCCAACAAATTTGTAAGATTATTAGTAATAGGGTAGGGGTGGGATAGTTAATACCACACTAATTTAATAGAATTATTAATACCTCACTATTAGTATTGTGAATCAAACATGGCCTTATTTTCTTTTTTTTTTTTTCATTGAATCATCTCAGTGACTAATTTAAAAAACTTCACTTTTCAGCAAAATAAATATATAAAAATCATTACAAGGACAAGAAGACGAGGCATACACTCGGTCGTTATCCAACAAATTCACTTTTTTTTTTTTTTAAATGCTTCAGATTGTTTATATCCTAAGAAAATACTACCAAAATTTACAAGTGCACATACTACAAGGTGGATCTGAGGGTTGGAGAAAAAGTGGACAAAATTCCTCAAGAACTAGCCTTTGTGATTGTGGACATGGCTCTCCTCTCCAACATCTTTGAAGCATAAATTTGCAACCGAAAATAAGGGTGATATGATGTTACCATAACAGATGGAAGTTCAAATGGTGTCATCCATCCCATCTCCCATCAGCCACAACATATTCTTACCAAGAGTATTGAATTCACTAGCCACTGTGCCAATCCAACATTTCAGTGCTATCTCTTCCCTTTACGAGCAAGAAAACGCTCCCGAGCTGCTTGTATCTGACTGTCACGGTCATCAACAGGCCTAGCAACATCAACATCATCTTTTTTTGGCAAGCTTGACTTATCTCTCTCAGTTTGCTCCTCAGACTGACCCGACCCACCACTGCTTCACACAAACATAATGCTCAAGATCATAGTACATGAAAATGGAAAATAAACTTTAAAAAAGGAAGAAGCATACACTTCCTACGGCAATTATTTCCCCAAGAAACTGGTATACCTGAGTTTGCTGATGTTTAGTTTCTCGAGCTTCTTTAAGATGGGCATGACCCATGGCATCTCTACTGCACACACATTCCGCATAAATGGACGTGAGGTAGAAATAAGTTCATGGTAGACAACATAATTTGGGAGCATTCCCTCTTCATCCGTTCTCAGCACAGAGGATGGATGCACCTAAATTTAAAAAAAGTGTACCTTCAGTTGTGTTCAAGACAACAATAATATAAAAAATACGCTGAAAAAAAAAAAAAACTCTAGATGTGAGTCAGGTACTTGATGCTAGTAGTTTTCTTTAACATATCTTCAAACGTAATTTTCAAATTCAACTTCGCTGCTTTGTGCTAAACTTGGTCATTCAAAAAGTAAAATCCAATGACAGAAAATGAAGTTTTGGTATTTACAACAAACACATATGCATATAACAAGATAACACAATAAGATATTTTCTAAGTTTCTACCTGAACAAGTTGGGGTTTAAAACCAAGAGTTCGGTAACCATTGTGACGAATCATTCTCTCTGCAAGCTGGTTTGCATAGCCAACAGACAGAGACTTCCTCAAGTTCCTATAATCCTCTTGGCTTTCTTTCCGTCTTTCATTTGTTCGAACATCTAGGGACCCTGATTTTATGCACAACATAAAATTAATTGGGGCATTCAAATATACATCTAGGTGACCGATAACCAACAACACTAAATAGAGAAATATGGAATGAGAAAGGTAACAAAACATTTTCCCATAACCAGGGGCTGCTGAATGAAAATATTAGATTGACTTCAGCTGAATGAAAATGTATGTTAAAATAAAATATAAAAACAAAAAGAAACTGGTATACATATATTTAGAAGTTTTTTGGTAGGATTTCTCATGTGATCGCAATGAGCCTAACAAAAAAGTAAGTAAAACTAGGATCTTTGGGTAAATCTAGTCTTTTTGTTTACCATTTGAAGTCCATCAAATATTTTTGTTTACTATTTCAGAGTCAATCTAATAAACAAAAGGAAAATATGCAAACTAGGATTTAGTTTTTTAATTTGGGTGAAATTGAATTGAGTTGAAATTAAATTCTTTTTATGAATAATTTCATTCAGTAGAAGTTGGTTCAATGTAATTCAACTAGTGGGGGGAAAAAATCGACTGACTACATTGAAGAAAAACTCTGGAGCTGCCGCTGTACACTACAGTAAGATGCATCCATAGCACAACTACCACATAAATGCAAAACATGTGTTTACAAGGTATAAGTTCATCGATACAAATGAATTCCAACCTTTTGCTATCTTCTGCATTATTTGGGATAACTGTTTCCGGACATCTCTAACAAACTTCATTCCTCGCACCTACAGTCAGTATGTTTAATATCAGATAAAGTTCTCACACAATAATTAAAAAGAAACAGACCCCAATTGAAACCCTAGAGAAAGTCGGGAAAAAAAGACAAGTATGCACACTTGTCAAGAAGTTGCAGCAAGTTCCTCTGCCTCACAACATAAGTAAAGCAATTAATGCCCAGATCACATTTGAAATGAGACGATGTCTGCACAAGGCTACGGCCCATGGAAAGGCTAAAAGATTATATCCTAAAGGGCCAGATGCCGAATAACAAAATATTGATGTTACTGTCTCACAGTATTTATTTAATCAATGCTATCTGAAACAGAATAAAGGTACCTGCAAGTTGTTATCTTTGCACCAATCCACATCATAGTCAGTCTGATCCCAACGCTCATAGATCTGCAGTAATTGGATGTGATCACCCCAACCAGAACCATTAGGAAGGTCTGAAGAATCATGCTTCCTCTTCTTCTCAGTGCTCTTGCTGTGAGACATAAAAAGGCAAATTTGGACCCAGAGAAGAATATTTAACAAGGAAAAAACAACAAAATATATAAATTTACTACCAAAATACTAATGTAAATGGAATTCATATCATGACTTTATAATTGATTATCAAATTATTGATGTGTGATAAAGACCATTATGGCCAAATCTCAATCAGCACCGTAGAGGAACATATGTGCATCTAAAACTAAAAGGTCTTTCACACTATGACCAATCCTTAAGCCTAGCTATGGAGATGCGGAGCCTTGATGAAGACGGAGAGTTCACAAGATGAGCTTGTGCATGCATGAAGAGCCCCTAATATAGGACAAGTAGCTCAACCCCCTTAGTTTGACAATCCAGAGATTTCTCAACTACCAACTATAATCATGGTGTTGTATCATGCAGTGTCAGTGGGCACTGGGCAGATATGTTAAGCTTTTGGGGCAGTATCAGGAGGACTACAGGAGAGCTATAGTATTAGGTATGTATGACATATGTAGTAATATATGTATTGATGATTATTGATTGTCGTATATATTGATGTAAATTACAATTCCTATACAATCTATATATAGAAGAAAATGTGGTAGTAGGTGTAGTGGAGGTGATAGTGGGTTAGGTGAAGCCTAAAATTTACAATCCAGAAATCAAACTGTCCTCTATGCCAAGCAAAGGTTTCAGAATGCATGCTCTTTAGTTGCACATTATGCTTGCCAGCTACCAGAAGCAAATACCTGGAGATAATATAACATAATAATTGCAGCATCCACAGCAAGTAATGATCTTACAAAACAAATTCAAGAATCTACCTTCGGCCAGGAAGCAACGTGGTTTCCGCTGATAGCATAGCAGCAACTGTCAAAGCCTGGGATAAGCAACCATATTCATTTGCCTCCATTAAGGTTCTTGAGAGTGAAGGTTCCAATGGAAGCTCTGCATTCAAGTATAGAAGATTCTCAGAGAAACCAGAAACACCTGTGCCCTCGAGAGGGGTTTTCAACACAAGCAGCTTTTTTCGTAGGGTTTTTCTATCATTAATTTAAGCAGATAATGATGAATGCAAATGTTTAAAGCTGATCCGAAGTAACGGTTCTCTCTCTTATCAACTTAAGTAAAAGAAAACAATGACAAGATCTTAAATAATATAGAGGAGTGCAATTCGCACTCATTTAGCTGGCTGTACTCCATTTTATGCCATATTCTCAATTTGTTTTTGTTATATTACAAAAAAGTCCCTGTTACAAGATTTTCAAAGTTGGCAACACGACAATATTGACACCAGCATTTTCAATCAATTAATTTATTTTCCCTACAATCACACACACAACACCCTGTCAATGTTTTATCCCAACACCGAAACACATTACAAACCCACCACACTCTGTCTCTTCCTCATCTCTCTCACCAGAAATTCATCGCTTATATAAAGAATCGAAAGAACTCATCATACATTCATTTGTCAGTATGTTGAGCAATGAAGTATACACAAACAGACAAGATCAACATAATCAAAGACAAAACTATTATTGCTGGATGAGTGCCGACCACTGAGACTAGGAGAGAGACAAAGTAAATCACACATCCGGCATTCATATGGAAAAAGCTGCTATCCCCACCCCAACCCCCCTTGCCCATCCTTATTTTATCTGTCAGTAAGCTAAAAAAACACCACCTCAAGATGAACAGTAGCAGAAAACAATCATAGTACTAACGAAAATTTCACACAACAATTCACCATAACAACTCCTAAACATGGATGGCCATACAAGAATCTCATAGCCAAACCCAATTCCTAATGGAACTTCTATGACAATGATACTGATGGCAATGATAGTAGTGCCTTAATGCTTCGTGTTTTGAAAACTTATTTATTGGTTTCAGTATACTAAAGTACAGAAAATTTAAAAATCAAATCAGAATCCAGTACCAGCCATCGTTCGTCCAATACTTGAAATTGATCCATTTTCGTCAATAGCATCAATAAGATATAGTTGCTTAAGAGCATCTTCTAGTGACTCAGCTGCAGCAAACCCAATTAAACTTGATCATTACTAGTTGAACAGATTACTTCAAACTAAACATAAAAAATGGAGAAAGGAGTTGCCTCATTACAAGAAGGGGAGTCAAGAAAATCAAATTTGAGAATATCCATATCAGGGAGGTCCAATGATTTCAAATAAAGAACAGTGCCAGCAAGCGAAGACCGCTGTATTTCAGGGACTGTTGCATCTAGTAATTCTTCATGGTAAACCATAGACGGGTACAAACGGTAGCACTTCCCAGGACGTGTTCTTCCAGCTCGTCCTGCACGCTGATCTGCTTGCACCCTGCAGTTAAACAAGGCTTCAAACTTGAACATTGCAACAATCACAAGGAAAGCAAGTGCTCAGCAACTAATTCATTTGCTGGCTACCCACTGTAAGACAATACAATGGATAAAGCAAAAAGGCAAACACAAACTCATTTGATCATTTGTCTTGCAGGAGAAGTAAAATGTCACATGTATGAAAACATTGCCCTCCACTAGATATCACTTCCAAAATCATACAATTCTTGTCTGCTCTTTTTCTATAATGTGTCTCTCGAAGGGCAGTGAGGCAGAAAAGCTCTACAGGATATGAGTTTTGACTCACCATAATCTACGTATGCAGTACAATCCTTAGATCAAACACTTCATCTATTGAACCATGCATAAAAGCACATTGAAGAACAAAGAGTAAAAGGCTATTCGTTAAGCACAAAATTGGTAATGGCATACCTTTTGTTGTTGGACAATTGGCACCCTTTAGGACCTCTTATTGATGTTCTTGGTCCTAGGATTGCTTATGATTGTTAAGTCACCAATTTGTTTGTGAATAGAGCTTTTTAAAATAGATAATAGGATTTTTCATCCGTACTTCTTTTCCAAAATATAGTGTGAAATAATTTCTTTCTATTTTGATATGCTAAAAGAAGGTGACAGAAACACGGTTTTTTCATACTCAAGCCCTGATTCTTTTAAAATTGCTATGTTGGCATATCCATATCATGCTGTACCTGTATCCATGTTGCGTGTCCATATTTGTGCTTCTTAGATATTAATCTATGCTAAAAACAACAAAAGTTTCAAGAGTATCAATCTTTTACCTGCTTATTTGAACAACATCAAGGGAATACATGCCAGTTGATGGGTTGTACTGTCGTTGCTTCACATAACCAGAATCGATAACATACCTGTCATTTACATATAATTTTTAATGATGAGAAAATAGGTTTAACCCAAACTCAAAAGAGCCCAAAAAAGAAAATTTGTTTATTTTTTGAATTAACATATGAAATATAGTGCATGAAAGGGGTGGGGAAAGGATCTACTAATTTCACAAAAAGAGCTAAAGACATTACCCAACAAAAAGAAGAATAGCCATAAACAATAAAATAGATCACAAAGGACCTCAGAAATTCTGGTGTAGGACCACATAATTTTTAATGATGAGAAAATAGGTTAACCGAAACTCAAAAGAGCCCAAAAAACAAAATTTGTTTATTTTTTGAATTAACATATGAAATATAGTGCATAAAAGGGGTGGGGAAAGGATCTACTAATTTCGCAAAAAGAGCTAAAGACATTACCCAACAAAAAGAAGAATAGCCATAAACAATAAAATAGATCACAAAGGACCTCAGAAATTCTGGTGTAGGACCACAGACTTATAGCCATCCAAATTCTCTAGGCTAGCCTAGTTTGAGCGTAGCCATAGGGCAATGCAGTTTCATTTTATTCTGACATCTTATTGCAGGCAATTTTAACTAAAAAAATTATCATTACACCAAATAAACAAATGAAATGAATGAGACCACTTACACAACACCATCAACAGTCAAAGAAGTTTCAGCAATGTTTGTAGCAACAATAAATTCATGGAGTCCACTTACACAACACCATCAACAGTCAAAGAAGTTTCAGCAATGTTTGTAGCAACAATAAATCGCCTGCAATTTGGAGGTGGAGGACTGAATACACGCACCTGTAGGAACAATGCCAACATTTAGTGTCATCAACAAAACAATTAGAATCAATTTGAACTACAACTTAACTATCAGTTCCATTCAAACTCTACTTCAGCATTCAACTCAAAAACAGAAAGAGGACAATTTCACACGGATGAGAAGTAAAAAAAAAAATGCATAAATCTGCATAAACTCCCCAGACAGTTCCTCGGGAGTTTCTACATTCGTGCATTGATAAATAAAATCATTCACTACGTCTTAATGCTTGATCTCCTTTTGATGAACAATATAGCTCAGAGAAACCATGTTTATCCTTCTCAGCCCATGCCAATTACTGCACCAGTCCTAAGAAGCTTGTTAATAAGCAACCATAGAACATAAGCAAGTGTTTATACCATGGATAAAGAAAAAAATTCACCGCTAGACAAAATGGTCCAAGAGATACAAAAAAATAAAAAATAAAATAAAATTTATAAATATAAAAAAAAAAAAAATAAAAAAAAAAAGAAGAAGAAGAAGAGGAAGAGGAAGAAAAAGAAAAAGAAAAAGAAAAAGAAAGAAAAGATAGAGGCCAACAAGAGGAGTCATCAATATCACATACAAAAAAAATAAAATACATCAGAATTCATCTAGTAGAGATATGAAAATAATTAGACTTGCCTGCAGTTCAGGGGGCAAAGATCCATGAAGAGGAAGGATTACAGCATCCATGCAAGAACCTTCCTCCAGGCTTTGAACTCTCTCCTCCAACTTCTTGACCAGCTTCTCAATATCATCCTATAAGAAGGCCATATACTTAATTTCTCCAATCAAAACAAGCAAAACCAGCATGACACAACTAAGCCATTAAATGGCAGACAGACCTCGGGAAAGAAAATTCTCACCTGTCCAGTCATAAATATTAAGACATCACCTTCTGGTTCCCGAACATGTATATCTATCAAGACAAATTTGTTAGCACATTCTCATTACAAGTGAAAAGGAAAAAGCAAATATCTATATAACAATAAAGGGTTGTTTTCGAATCCTAATGGGACTTTTGTCCCTTTGTCAAAATGTGAACCGTTAGATTGATTCAATTCAACAGCTGAAAATGTCTAAGAGACAAATTATCTTTCAATGGTTGAGATTGTTTGCTCACATACATCCTATGGTGGATATACATTTTCTCCTTATGTTTCTTCTTCCCTTCCATCCCTCTCTCTCTCTCTCTCTAAATTCAAAATTGGGTTGTCCCCTTCATCTCACTCTCAGAGCTCACTCTTCATCTTTAATCTCCCTGACAATGGTCACAGCCTCACCCCTATTAGTCACTTATTCCCCCGAAAACCTAATACATAGCAGATCGGTGACTTCGGGTGGGTTTGTTAGGTGCTAGCCTTGCTAGATTGGTGGGCCCAAATCGGCGACATCGCGGCAACAGATCGAAAGAGAGGATTTTCTTGACCTTAATCATCAGTTTCTTAGGTTAGCTATCATGGAGCCCAAATCGGCGACAAGCTATCATGGATTCTCTCTCTCTCTCTCTTTGCTTGTCTGTCTGTGACAGTGTCTTCAATATGACTATATTTATTCATTCCTCATGAGGTTCTACTTCTCTCTTTAAAATTTATTAGAGTATTCCATTTTTCGGTACTTAGATCTCAGCCCAAAATTTAAGAAATTAGGATACTTTTGTTAGTGCTAAATTTATCTGTGAATAGAATCAATAATTAACTTATCTTTTCCATACAAATTTGGATTTTTTTTTTTCGTCCCATCATCCCCACCATCACCAACAAAGCTCTCACTCTCTATCAAATCAAATGGGGGTTGAGGAAAAAAATTGGTTTCATGTCAACCCATTTTCATTTCATGCTAGTCAAATGGGTTGAGGATTGTTAACATTAAATGGGTTAATGTGAAAGGTAATTAACTTATCTTTTCCATACAAATTTGGATACTCTGTTTGTTTGTTTTTTTTTTTTTTTTTTTTTTTTTTCCATCCCATCATCCCCACCATCACCAACAAAGCTCTCACTCTCTATCAAATCAAATGGGGGTTGAGGAAAAAATTGGTTTCATGTCAACACCCATTTTTATTTCATGTTAGTCAAATGGGTTGCGGATTGTTAACATTAAATGGGTTAATGTGAAAGGTTAACTTGACTGTTAACATTAAGCTAAAAATAAAATAGATAGTCATATTTTTACTCATAGTTTCAAATTAGACAAAATATTTTTGGTATTTATTGAATACTTTTGTATTTACTTAAACTTTATCTGGCACATTATTCACTGGTGATTTGCAGAATGATGATGAGATGCAACTCTTGACTTTTGGCAAGATCAAGTATAGTAATTACGTCTGACGACTTTTCTTCCGCTCCAAAGCTGCTCGGGCTTTAGTCAACTGGCGTATGGGATACGCCAAGTAGAATAGTACGGGGCAAGCCACCTCCGAAGACTGCATCTTCTCTCCAGAGCACAAAGTGCTCCACCGCTGCGCGCCACCGAAACTTTCAGAAACAACATAACAACATCTAAACTGAGAAAATAACAACTGATAACCTCTATAGTAAAACAAGCCGAGCTGCTCTTCCCACCTCCATCTCCGTCTCCAGATCCTCCATCCCAATTCTTGCAAACTCCTTCCAAATCCCGGAACATCAAATCGTAACCTGATAATCTATGATTATGATATATAACATTAGTTACAGTATCAGTCTTGTATAATGAGATGTAAAGATCGCACGACCCAGGCGCTGCTTATATTTCTTTATTATCATCATCCCCTTTCCAATGAATCTCATATCCATAATTCCCATTATCGTACAGAGTAAATAGGGTCACATAAGAATTCATTTCCTGCCTGTTGGGATCCTTTCCTTTAAACTTCACTTTCGTAGGCTTCTGTGAAAGCCATAGATTACCAAGGTGCACACCTCCCGAATCAACCGTGAAATCGTCACCGCTGTCATTCGTGTTCTCCACCGAGATCATTCCCTCAAATCCGTTCCGGAAATGCACAATATTTAGAACCATTTTAATTTTTCATTCCAATCTATAATTACCAACATCCTTTATAGACAAATTTTATAATTTAAAATAAGTTGCGTTACGAATCTACGCAACATTAAAATATCCCCTATCCCCAGGGGCAATCTTGGAAACTTTTATATTATAAAAATATTAAATCTTGGGCTACTTCAATAAAATGCAACTTGCAAATCCACTAGGCCCAAGTACATCTAAGTCCACTGGGCCAAAGTATATGCGCCCTCCAGAGCTGGGCAGGCTCTTCTTTCTCGACTTTTTGACAAAAGATCAAGTATAGTAACTTAGCCTGACGGCTTTTTCGCTGCGCGGCTTTTGTTAGACAATTTTTGTTGCGCAATAAAAGACGAAGTTAAATCAATTGAATGATTATTTTTCAGGCATTCGCCTAATTAATTTTCTTCTAAAATTAGAGAATAATAGCATAAATGCGAAATCTAATAATCAAACAGCCCAAGCAATTTTATTTCTCAATCAAATTCAAGTACATAATTAAAGTACAAGATTATGCAAGAACATTCAGCATCTTCATGATGTATTTCATCTTAACATCTAAATCCCGATCTTCAATTGCAGAAGCATAATCATTTTCAAGATCCAAGATTGCCTTAACCAGAGTATGATATTTAGGATGATCAACTAACCCCTTCTGACAATACCAGTCGGCGTGTTTCTGGCAATCTTCATACATAAGAACAACATCAAACCACTCGACAACATCAAACCACTCGACAACCCTTCTGGAAAGTCCTTTCTCATCCAAATGATTACGGACAATTGATAAAATCTCAAAATCCCTCTTCCTAATTCTTCTCAATCCATCTTTGAAGCTGCACCTCCTTCTAAAGAGCTTCTTCTGATTAAAAACATGCTGCATATCAGAAAACGAAGGATATTCATTCTGAACCCCGGCAAAAGCCCCAATTTCTTCCATTGACGTCTACCCTAATCGGAAGAAGAGACGTCTATTTAATATCAAAGATATTAAGTACATTTAATTATCCCTTCAGATCCACCAACAGAAATCTTTTACGTCTAAAAGCAAATAGCCTCCAAAGTTAGCATCCATGCCATCCCTTAGGTCATTCCCTGATGCGGACATTTCCCCCGTGCCAATACTGGCACGCGTTCTGTAACGCGTAATGAGTTAACTTATCTTTTCCATACAAATTTGGATACTCTGTGATTTTTTTTTTTTTTATCTCATCATCCCCACCATCACCAACAAAGCTCTCACTCTCTGTCAAATCAAATGGGGGTTGAGGAAAAAATTGGTTTCATATCAACACCCATTTTCATTTCATGTTAGTCAAATGGGTTGAGGATTGTTAACATTAAATAGGTTAATGTGAAAGGTTAACCTGACTGTTAACATTAAGCTGAAAATAAAATAGATGGTCATATTTTTACTCATAGTTTCAAATTAGACAAAATATTTTTGGTATTTATTGAATACTTTTGTATTTACTTAAGCTTTATCTGGCACATTATTCAGTGGTGATTTGCAGAATGATGATGAGTTATGGTGCACAGAGGATGTGAGCAGTGGGTTTTGTTTTGGGGTAATGTTCTTATACTTTTTCTTATTTATTATTTTGAGAAGTGCTCTTACTGATTTTGGATTTGGTGCTCCATTTCTAAAAGATATATTTTGTTTATGGTGATTCTTTTGGATATATTTATTGTTTTTGTGTTAGTTTTTTCAATTGTTTTTGGTATTGGTATGTATCTAAGAAGCTTTCAATTGCAGTAAGAGTGCTTCAAAACAGAAAATCACTTCCAATTTAATTCCTTTATTTACATTAATGGTAATTTGTATATGAAGCATTGTGTTTGTGGTCCTATATATCTAAATCATTGCTTTAAATTTGCTTAATAGGTTCACATTAGAGAGCTTGAGGAAGAAGTGAAACTTCTTAAGAACCTTTAGCATCCAAAAATTGTGGTAAGTATTTGATTTGCATGCTTATTAAAGCATTTTAATGTTTCCTTTTGTTGCTCATCCCTTAAAAAACAATTCAAATATCTTCCTGTGCCTATCCATAAATTCTTCAAAAGGTAAGGTATAACTTCTAATTTCTGATTGTAATAATAACATTCTAATGATTTGAGCACATGCGAGTTTGTTCAAAATTATATACGTGGTGATCCTCACCACCATACACAGAACTTTAAACCCAAATGAAAGTATAATTTTTCAAGGCAATTAAAATCCATTGGGGTTTTTGTTTGATAATTTGTCATGGTATTGCTTTGTTTTCACTTATAAATTCAAGTGGCTTTGGTCTAGTTTCCTTTAATTATATAGAGTTATGAGCCATCATATTGGTTTTCATTTTTCTTGATAATTAATTATTTTCTTTTAGCCACCAATGTCGACAGCTATTATGGGTAGTTTGGAAGTTGATTTCAATAATTTCTGACTTCCGTGATTCTTTGATTTTGAAGACCAACACATGCTCTACATAGTTGATTTGTGGTGATTCTCTCTCTCTCTCTCTCTCTCTCTCTCAAGATTTATATTTAATGGGTTCAATAACTTTTTCGTGGTGAGCACCCAAACTTAGATTTTTAGATATATTTCTCATGTGAATGGGTTGTTATTTCATGTTTTTATTGGTATATTAATATGGGAATTTTAGGATTTTTAGTATGTTGTTATTGCATTATTGTACAAAGAGGTTTTCATTTGTACCTTTTTCACCTTTGTTTTTTCCCCTCAATATTTAATGTACATTTGTGATCTCATCATACACCACCAGTTGAGCCGACGTGTGTTTGGATTTTGTTTTAGGCTGAAGATTCATAATGGAATGATTCCCACTCACTCCCATCCCCTATCTCAGTTAAATCTAAATAAAATTTTGGTTTTGTTTAATTGGTACAAATGTATTCAATTTCCATAGAATTTGAAACTTTACCAATGTAAGCAATTTCAAGTTGAGGCATGAGTAATTGATATAAAAGGCAAATTCATGAGTTAATTTGTTTTAGACTTATAGAAGTTGAGTCGGAGTTTTGATTTACTAAGATTTCAAATTGGTTTTGATAGATATTTGAATTTTTTTTCCTTCAATTAATTGGTTTTGAATTTCATAACTTAATTATTTGGAATTGTAGTATAATCCTGTTCAATCTTTGATTAATCTCATTAACAAAAGTCATCTTATTTACATATAATCCTCTAATTGGTTGTTTAGAATTTCATAATTATCGGTTGGTTTAATAGAGAAGCCTTCTATTTGTTAGTCTACTTTCAATTTGATTTCCAAATTCTATTTTTTTCATAGTGTAATGATTTAACTATGTTTATTGTGGAATCTAATCTCTTTTTGTTTTTGGTATTATTGATTGGCAAGTTATTGATATTGGCATAAAACAGTGCATCTTTAGCTTAAATTTTATATTATTAGTTTGGCATTTGCATTTGTGTGTGGTTTTGATTGATTGCTCAAATTAGATGGTTTGATTCTTGGTCTAAAGAAACTAACAAAATGCATACGAAAACAATGTGCAATAACTCATATCTTTGGCAGATTGATTCAATTCAGTTAAATTGATAGTATTGGGTAATAGTAAAATCAACTTATACTGTCTATTGGGTATAAATAGGACAGTTTCATGATTTCATCGTAAAAGAACCACATTTCATCGTAAAAGAACCACCCGTGCCTACGACACTCCAAGTTAAAAAATAAAAAACACGTTCAAGTTTTTTTTGGCCCTTCCCTTCACCCAAAAAAAAAAAAAAAAATCCCTTAAAATATTTAGTTTAGACTTGAGACTTGAGCTCATTTCCCTCTTTAGTATGTATGAGATTACAAAATATTCTTTTGTTCATGTGATTACAAGACATCCTTTTTTTTTTTTTTTTTTCTATTTCTTAATCTCAGACAATTTTAAGAAGCTGAGATCTTCAAAATTGAATTTGAAACTCTCACACCCAGATTTTAGTTGGTTTTGCTGAAGGGAAAGCATTAGTTGCTATAATTGAGAAGACCCATGGCAGTAATGGACCCATGGTTATCGGCTTTCCGATTGATACATTGTTAAGCTTACTCATTTTCGTTGTTATTTTTTTTCTCATTTGGCAATGCCATTGTCTATTAAAAAGAGAAACCATCGTGTGATAGCGTGTGTTGTCCACTACTAATATACCATTACAACGGTTCAATTTTGCAGACAAGTGGAGTGGGATCAACCGACGACACTAAGCTACGATAAGTTCTATGGTAATTTCTTTTTTTTCCAACCATACGCACCATTGACCTAATTTGTCATTACATACATAAATGAGGGATTTTAATCTCTAATTTGTTTATTCTATTTCATGTGATATTTGTTATTTCTTAATGATTTTGGGATTCTCATGTAGAGAGTTGTACTAAATATAATATTTACATGGCCAATTGGCAGCTTGACAATAGGATGGTGTCACTTGCTTGAAGTCAACTGCTTTTGTTGAGTTGATTTTTGGATTCTATGATTTTGTCAAAGATCATTTACTCCACTTAGTAACCAATAGATGCCAAGTAGGTAGATCAAGTACTACTAGGAGCACATCCTCCTTATTGTTCCTTTGCTAGGAGGAAATGTAGCATCACTCGTAAATTGAGACAACTCTTCCCAAAAGCTGGTTAATGTTTTAAACTTGGTCCTTAAACATAATGATAGTCTCTTTGTTCTTGGTGCTATTTATTCTAATTTTATATTTCTATTCACCATGTTTGTTTCCAGTTTTTTGAAAACACTTTTCAGAAAATTCTACTTTCTTATTTTTCATATTTTTTTGTTTTTACATAATTTTTTTAATATTTTAAGCATTTTTTTTATAAAATTTTTAGACACACCTACCATAAATACACTTAAAAAGTATAAATTTTGTGAAAAAAATCTTTAAAAAAATCACTAAATACCAAAAATACAAAAAAAATATGAAAATTCAGTATATTTTTTGTATTTTTGTGTATATATTAATTTTTTAAAATATTTATATTTTTTCACAAATATTTTACTTTTTAAATACATCTAACTAAGATGCATCTGAAAAAGTAAAAAAAATGGTTAAAATTTTAAAAATATTCACTAAAAACAAAAAAAATACGAGAAACAAAAAATTCAGTTTTCAGAAAACTGAAACCAAACACACTGATTATGGTTTCAATATATTAGTCTTCGTAGGACATAGTATTAGATCAATATTTTCTAATTTTATATTTCTATTATGGTTTCAGGACATAGCATTAGAACAATCAAGCCTAGCCTCATAATTAAGTTATATTGCCAATGGGTTTAGTGGCAGAACCAATATTTTGGCTTGGGGGCAACATTAAGCAAAAACCTAAGTTTATATTGCCAATGGGTATAGTGGCAAAAACAATATTTTGGCTTGACAAAGTTTTGTCCAGTTTCATAGGCTTATTCCTCACTCAGTTGTGTAGTTATGGATTATAATTTTAAAAAATCATATATCTATCCTCACGGTTAATTTTACATTTGATCAATTAACTCATTTAAGGATTCCCAGTGGCAGAGAATATATTAGGAGAACTGCGTATGTATCAATTTGCTTCTTTCCTTTTCTTTCTTGAAAGTTTTCTATTTGATTCTCAACTGCAACCATCTGATTGGTGGTTTGATTGGATGAGGGTGGGTGATGATTTGGATATAATGTCTGTTTACCAAACACAATTCATACACATTCTCGCACAAACTATAATGTCTCTTTTAATGTTTATATTTGTGATTAGGTAATGGTTTTCAATTTATGTATTTAATCAATTAATGGACTGGTGTGTTTAGAAGTAGGAGAATCGAATCTCTTGATCCTTTCGTTAATTGTTAATATGATAATGAAAGAGTTGTTTTCATTTGGAAAATTTGACTTAATTCACCATTGATTGTTTAATATTAGTTTGATTTTTAGTTTAATATTAGTTTCATTTTTATTTTTCAAGTTTTTATTTACTTTAAGTTAAAAGTTTTTTTCACACAACGTGCATGGTTTTTGTAGGGAATGTTTTAGCACTCAAGTACAATCTTTTCAATCATTCCAGTTTTTTATCTAATTGAGGTGGTGGTAATTTTCACTTTATGGTTGAGCCTTCTAATCGTTGAATTTAAAAAAGCCTTCTAATCATTACATTAGGCACTACCTAATAAATTACAAAAAAAAAACAACACAACACCCAATTAATACACATTAATGTGTGTTTGGGAGGGAAAAGATTGAATACATACCTAACCTTTTGGCATAATGCACTAAGTAGTGGCCCAAGACTTGAACCCATAACCTCAAGGTTATTGGGCCAAGTCTAAACCATTGAACCAATGGTCACCCCTCACTACCTAATAAATTGTAATATAAAAATTTATTACACATAAATTGTTCGATCTCATATAATTATTTTATTTTTTGTGAATCCTTGGCACTCGATTAGAGTGATATATTTTGACTTCGACTTTTATTTTTGTTTTTTTCCTGCAAATTTCAGGTGTATAAAAGTGGCAATTGTCCATGATATTGCAGAAGGTAACATCTTTGTATTTGGATTTTTTTATTGGGTTTCTCATTACGCATTCTTTTCCTGTGATGAGTAGTATATTGAAGAAAAACAATCGTAGTGAGAATTTGAGTAAATTGTTGTATAATGGTTAATTGCGCAAAGCTTTTTTGTCATGAGCCTGCCTATATTAGGATTCCAAATTAGATGTAATTATTTATTTTCATTTGTTTTCGTGTATTATTTAAATTGTTAAATTCTTCATGCTAAATTGAAAAAAAAAAAAAAGAAGAGTTATACATAGCAAATGCTAAATTGTGAATTCCTATACTTAGCAATTCATATTCATTTTTTTTTTTTTCTATACAATTCATATTCATATTCATTAAGTAGCAACATGTGAACTCACAAGTCATGATATACACTAATCAAGAGACTTGGGAACTAAGTTGAAAGGTGCTTGATCATATGTATCAAGAAGGGTTATATTGAAATTTTTTTTTTTTATGTTCAATTCCTGTTAATTCATAGTTATTGGTTTCTCTGTTTCTCAAAGGTATTTTGATGTGATTTTTCCTGTTATGATTTCTTTTAATTGATTTTTTAAAGTAAATTCAAGCATTGGAGTGATTATGTTGCAGGTGACTAATCCACCTTAGAAATGTTGGGATTGTGTTGTTTTTCTATGTGTGTTGATGGTTGGCTCTTTCATTCTAAACTGGATGATTTTTATTTTTTTTAAAGCTAGGATGATTACTCTTTTGTACCAAAATGTTCATTCACAATTTCTTGAAGCTTTGAAATTTGATAAAGCGAAAAGGTTACTCAGTTATAATACTAATTTAGACACATTTTTTTATTGAAGGTTGTCCCATTCTAACTCACTATACATGTGTTATTTTGGCGTGAATATCTTTGCTTATGTTGTATACAACATTTTTATATTATAAATTTGCTATTTAAATTTTAATTATTTTGGCGTGAATATCTTTGCTTATGTTGTACAAAAACATTTTTATATTATAAATTTGCTATTTAAACTTTAATTATGAAGTTTGCCAAAAAGTGTAATTTGCTATTTCAACTTATGTGTGAAGTTTTATATTGCAATGAAATTGTTGTCATTTTGAATTAATTTATTACAATTGATTTCTGTAGTAGTTAAATTGTTATCATTTTGAATTGATTTATTTTAATTAATTTTTGTAAAGTATGTGATACTAACATTATTTACACTTTGCCTTCAGGCACAGGCATGCACTATATATATATATAAGTTCTGGCTGCACAATTCAGAATAATATCGTACCCAGCAATGCAAAAGAGAGAACCAAATTGTACTGAACCAAAAAGCACCACACTACAAAATCTACAAATATAAGAAAACCAAAGCATAACAAAAACACAGTTTTAATCATACCGATGGCTGTTTTCAAAGAAGATTCAAGATAACTCTTTGGGCGCTCCATGTTGTAAAATATTTCCACGGGGAATAACTTCCCAGGGACATTGAGTATAGGGCAATTGGAGAAAAATCTTGACACTTTTTCACCATCAAGAGTAGCTGAAGTGATCAAAACCTTCAGATTGGATGCACGCATTTTAATCAACCGTTTCATCAGTCCTAGCAAAATATCCCTGGACATACATATTTCCACATATGAAGGCCATTGTATATAATGTATAGATCCAAAATAAAAAATAAAAAATTGCATAAATAAATTCAAATAAAAAAGTATTTAAGTTAAATACCAGAAAATTTTTAGAAATGCCAAAGATCGAAGCATCTCCAATGATGTAGCGTATAGATGTTGAAGTGCTAAAATAGCACAATGCAATAAAAACACTCACTTCAACAAAAAACATACTTCTGTTAAAAGCATACTATACCTTTGACTAGTTGATTTTTTTTTAATAAAAATTATATAGTTGGAGTTTAATTTATCACTGATTACATTACAAGTTTACAACTATGTCATGTGATGATAAAAGTGATGTTAATTTGGCACAAATAAATTATAAAAAAAATCATCTATGTACAAACCAATTTAATTATTTTGTAATTTCGACTTAAATTAATAAAAATTAAAGCATTATTTAAATAATGGTGGTTTATAGGTAAATGAATGACAAATAGCACAAAAACAAAAAATACTACACTTTTAGAGAACCAGTGCTATTTTTAGCACAGTAAATACTACCAAGTGCACTTTTATAGGGTTAAATAGC